CTCCCTACCTTAATTATTTCTATTTTTGCACAATGTACTATTTTTCACATCATGTTTGAAATCAATGTTAAACAAAGGTCATAGTGACATCAGGACATTGCTTGGGATTTGACAAATAAAAAATTACATTTTGGGTATTTTCACACTTAATAATGTGTCATACACATTAAATGATGGTTAATTTGGTTGAGGTAAGTGTATCTCAAAGCCTTATTCCAACCTGTAAGCTCTGAATTGAGCTATAAAAAAGATATTCAGGTTGAAAATCAAATCATTAAATTTTTGCAGTAGAAGCTTGGTCAATGCCTTTCACGCATTCTGTGAGATATCACAGTTACCGGAAAATCATCTATTAATATTGAAGTAAACTTCGAGGATGAAAAGCATTTTTTTAACATTTTAAACAAGCTAATACACAGGGACACAGTCTGAAACTGCAGATAGATAAAGCTGGTGGTCAGAGAGCTAAATTTCTCTTAGTCTTGACTGGAATGACTTGGTTTAGGAATCTGTACCAGCTATTAGTATTACCGATAACAGGTTCAAAGCTGGTCTCAAATACGACTGGGCTGCGGACCCAAACAAGGACATATATTATTATGACTTTTCATATTAACTGTTACAAATAAATACACTTTCTTGTATCTGTGTTGGATGACATTCAAGACATGTCATATTATATATCTTCAGAGAGTTGGATATCGAGCTTAATTAATACCGCTAATTAATAATATCACGGTTAATTTTTGTGATTTATGAAATTAGTTTGATTTTTGACTAAGAAAAATGTTCAGTCAAAATCATAATAAAATATAAATGTTCTGGCTGATCATAAAAGTCACAGTCCCTGTCTGTGAAAAAGGAATACATGGCCCTAGATGTCACTAATAAAAGTGAATATATTTGATTGTAATGTACAATGTATCACTGGAAAAATAAGATGTATTTGAAATTTGCTCAGTTCTTATGATATGTAGGACTGGTTGTGAATGCAGTACATTCAAATATTAGAGGCAAAATCTACACAGATACTGAATCTGATCATAAGAACTATTCACATCATAAAGTCTTGTTTTTTGAAATGAGTAAGATTCACCAATTTTGAATCAAACCACAAAGATAAAAATGTGCATCAGTTGTTGACAAAGTTATTAAAATAAAAACAAATCAACATGCGTATGTATACCATTATATCTTGTCTTTGTATCTACTATTAACTATATCGGTCAAAGTATGTCTGAGAAATTGTTAAAGGCACATGAAAAAACAAAACAATATGGCTACCAGTCGGCCATTATAAATCAAAACACAGAACAAACTGATGTGCATTAGTAAGCCATTATTTGTACCCTTGATACCAAATCCGAATAAAATTTGCCATGGCATATCTGATTTTGTGATTTCAGTTTTAGAAAAATAGAAAAATACTTAAGACTGTTATAAAACCCTTTATATCTAGTCTTTGTACCAAATTTAAACAAAAAGTGTTTCTGAGAAATGGGAGAGAATTTAAAAGAAATGCCATTTTGAATCAAATCGCGAAACAAACTGATATGCATCAATAACTCACATACACAGGTTGTCTATTATGATGTGTCTTGGTACCAACTTTGATGAATAATATCAGTCCACAGCCCATTATGAGAAATGATGCGGACGGACAGATGGACGGACAGATGGGCAGAACCCAACACACAAGTCTTTCATAACACCATATAGGATTTAATTATTCACAGGGTTTCATTTCCACTTATTTTGCTGATGGCTAACTGAGCAAAATTAAAACCAAAGGAATATGCAAATTGAACCATACAAAATATAATTTCTGACACAAATCTGTGAATTTAAAACAAAGACAATATCTATGAAACACTAAACCCAGTCAATAGACCATTTTCTGTTCACTGCGAAGCTGAGCTCGAAAATAAGAAATTCGAGTTCAAAATCAAATCGTTTGATTTTTCTGGCAGATGTTTGGTCCACGTCTGTCATGCAATTCTCGAGATCCCACATTTGTACAAAAAATCACCTAATAAAAACTTTGCCAGCCAGTCAAATTAAATCAGCTAAAAAAATATCTTACATCAATTTTTATATAATTCCCACATTGAATACAATGTAACAACCAAAGAAGTAGAGCAATGCAAAAAGTTAAATTAAATGATGTGCATCAGTAACTCCGCCATCTGTGAAGAAATTCGAACTAAGTTACATAAACCCAGGCATGCCTTGGAATCTGCTCAAAGAGATTAAATGTTACAAGACTAAATGGGAGATGAAAAGAAATCAGTAAGCAACAAGTGTTATTAAACTTACAAACTATGTGCAACTACAGCCATGAAGGTATGTTAATTTTAAAAAAAAGCAGGAAAAAGAAAAAAATCTAATTCAGTATTGGAGCCACTTGAATGCCAAAAAATAACCACTGGGCGCCACTGAAAATAAAATTTAGCATTTACCTATATACAGACCAAATTTGAGTTCATTGATAAGATAAATCCCTGATATGACACTGAATGGACATTGGGATGGCTTGACGAAGGAAAATGGTTGCTAAAACTATATGTCCCCATTTTTGTGATTACCGGTACTTGCAAGTAAAAATTGAATGATGGCACCCACTAAGTTGAATGACCCAATGTCACCGTTTGTCACCGAAAGTTACAGCATTGACTATGGGGATAAGGATGGGAAACTGAAGCACATAAGTGAAACCGGCATAAGTGATGTACAATGTTCTTTTGCATAATGACAATTTATAATTACGGGTAAATTGTCTTGGTAGAACAAAAGTCATCATGTACTGTGTTCCAGAGCGAATAAATCAAAGGAAACTTTATCACCCAATTCTTGACCAAAACATGACCAGGAATTGTCAATTTTTTTTTTCTCGTCTCCGAGTACACTAGTCATAGTAATATTTGGCAAATGTACTTTTGAAATGGTAAGCAAATTTTATCGCTCATTTTGTTGAATATATTATAGTGAACAGCAGGACTGATTTTGTAAGGATCTGTAGTGAAAACGGAATTTCCTATAATCAAGTTGTCTCAGCTTGTTGCTGGGGAGGTGGGTCTTCAAAAAATAATAAAAATATATGCGACTGTATAAGTGACTTGCGACACAAACAAAAATGTTGTGAACCCTGAAGTTTTCACTATTATTTTGCACATGAAATGTGAATTTTATTTTACTACAGTTACGGTTTATAAATACATGTTGTATACAACATTTATAAATTTGAAAACTGCTGTTGACCAATCAGAATGATCACTGTGCCGTCAATGAAGATGAATACATGCTTCTGAAACGGACGACCCGATCCGCGTGCGTGCATAGGTGTATCAACCAGTACCAAATTTTTATATCCAGTCCAGTTGTCTCAAATGGATTTGAATGAAACGTTCTGTAAAAATGTTATTAAAATAAATTAGTTAGAAAATATTTAAACAGCTTTTTTGAAAACAGCATATAGCATGATGTTGCCTATTATCCTGTACTTGAGTTACAGCTATTATTTACTTATTCACAAGTATGTGTAAACAATATTCATTAACATTGCCTGCAGGAAATTTAGGTTACAACCATCCGAAAAATTGTTGGAAAGTACCAAACATATTTTTTTAGGGATCTTGAGTCAAAAAGAAATCTCAAAAAAGCAAGTTAGGTTAGCTAACAGAGTGAGAAGTCTTCCAGAGAAAACGAGCCATCCATGGCACAGCCCCTGTTAGTTATCAAATTTACGATATGTAGTTTTGTTTATAGTAATATAGTTGGAACATAAACATATCAGAGATATGAATCCAGAGGCTGATGCTTGATTTTTAGTAAGCCATTTTGAATCTGATCTGAAAAACAAAATGATGTGTCATAATCATAATGTCCAACATATGTACCAAGTTTGAACAAAACCCTTCTGTAAACAGCAAAGATCCGGGACTGGAATGCCAGAAATGCTTGATTTCAGTACAAAAATGGCCGACAGTCAGCCATCTTGAATCAGATTGTGAAACAAATGTATGTGCATATGTATAATATTAAGTATGATGTATGTGTGACGTTTTAATGTAATAGGTCCATGCATGTCTAAGATATAGGTCCAGACGCATGCATGGACACAAAGCCACACGGACGCACGCACAGAAGTCAATGTATTATTTTCTATTGACTCACTTTCTACGTTCATATTACAGCATCTTGGCACGTGCCAACATTTTTAATCCTTTGTGTTTTCAGGGGGATTACAGCAGTTGCGTTCACGTTAGTCAGGACCCACTTGAGACACATTCGGCTCAGGCCAAAATTACGCCATCATTCGTCAATCTGTTATTTGACCCAAACGTAGAAAACAATACGCATATGATGTTGATAATTGCTATTGTAAAATTATATCCATTTGCTATTATAGTATTTATTTTGAGTCATCATGCACATGAATGGCAAAGAAGATTCGAAAAACAATAATTTTTTCATATCGTTGCAGTTGCAGCAGTACATACTCTTATCTCTCAAATAAAAATACAATTTCCAAAATGGCCGATAAATTGTTCCCTTGCTTCTAAAATGTGCTCTTACTGGTGTATATGTTAACTTTTCACTATCCCTTGTAATAGGAATATAAATGGACAACAACATTTCTAGCAATATACTTTAAATTTCTCTGTTCAAAAACTTTCCAGCCAATTAGTACAATGGTGAAGCATTCTGCGAAATTTGATCAGTTGCAAGGACAATAATTTTCTCGATTTGCATTCTGCCACATGTCAAAAAAATGCATTGGCCGGGCAGCTGCATTGATCAAGTTTCTCTGGTGTGGCCATCATTGCTAGCGAAAAGCAAGAAACAAAACATCATAATTACAAAACATCAAAGCAAATACAATCAGATGACTTAAAAACTTTATTGTATGTACTACCTAAGCTGACAAACTCTGTTCCCATTGACCATGCATTATGACTTCCCCGCCCTCTCCAGCGGAGGCTATTACACTACAGGCTAACATGCGGGGGATACGGATTTTATGTGGGAGATTTTGTCGTTTTGAGCCCAAATTTGTGCATTTACAAGACGTTTACTTCTAATCAAAGATTGTACTTTTTTTTTGTCATCGAAAAAAAGGCATAAATATTTTTTTTAATTGGCCCAATTTAGAAAAATTAAGTACCATCCCAAGTACTGGGTGGAATTTTTCAGGAAAAAAAATATTCGTCGCTGCTGACAGTTTGCATTGGTCACTACAGCATCTGACCATATATAGCTGCACTTTCCTCTGTTCTAGTGTCATACTTGTATGAACCAGTATACTGTGTGTTATTTAAATTCACCACCAAAAGCGCAATTTTAGTTTGTGCCGAGTTTCGGTGACTGGCATCTATCGTTACCGAGTTTTTTTCGGCATATGTCGACTTCATCCCAACTGTTCATAAACAAGTTCAGCACGTGTCAACTCGGCCCTAAATCTTGGCACGTGCTGAGAACTCTAATGTGAACGCCACTAATGTTTTGTCAGGATAACTCATCTTTACACATGGATACTGCAGAGTTCAGAAGCAAAAAAAAAGTAGGTGTCAACATAAAAAGTGTAATCTGATGCAAGTTACTTAAAGGCCCAATTCCCTTGCCCCGGGCAAGTGTTTATGTTTTTTACTTTTATCCGCCAAAATCTCAGTTCGTACACTATTTATTGTCATAAATACTACACACAGTCACTGCTGTGATATTCATAGTCACATGCATCCACTTTGGCACGACATAATTTAAATAGACCTGTAAGTTTGAGAAAACGCGTTTTTACGGGAGCTTGGCTGGAGCTGTTTACTACAGCTAGACAAGCAAGGAAATAATCCCGATTATTTAGGAGCATATTTATAGTATACCTAGGCCTTTAATCTATGTACAAATGTCATAGGCACTCATGGTAACAAAGAATGAAAGAAAGCTGTTCATTCTGGGGTTGGAAGATCCACGATTCTGCTAATGCACTGCGATTGGTTGATTTGACTTAATAAGACTTAATCCAGATGTTTTAATAGTTTACACTATTTTTGTTTTTACTTTTTTATTATCATGATTTTATTCTGTATTGTAATTTTATCTATATCTCAAAAGAGATTTGATAACAATAAAGTTATTATTATTATTCCACATGTCTGACCGTGTAACTTTTGACCCCGTGACCTTTTTAAACGTGATAACGAACACCATCATCAACGACAATTCGGAATTATTCTAATTACGTCACCAGCTAATAAGCACGCCGGTGTCTTTGGTGCAACATTTTTAGATGCAGTGTCGTGAATTCTAACTGATAGGGGTTGGGGTCAGGGGTCACCCAGCCCCGGTCTTACCCGACTGGTCAAGTTGTACTCGATAGGATAGACTGGTTGTCCCTTCTCCCGCTTTACTATCGGCTTCGGCGATGTCCTGGTCACTCTTCGGAAAAACAGAAACCACAGTGTGAACCCGAGTACCGGTAACGCAGACAGTATCGAAAACACAGACATCTTGATTCTTAATGACTGTCCACCGCTGATAGACTTAATTATCATCGGGCCAACCTTTGCATGCGCGTCTCCGCTGTCCAAATGTTAAACATCACCAAAATTACCCCCTTCTCAAATGAGGGCGCTGCTCAGAACAGCCTCTGTCGCTGGCTAGTCTGGTCGTCTGCTTGTTGTGAGCAAGTACCGCGCACACAAAATAGTGAAACGACGAGCACTTCGAATATATAACGAAAAAAAATATTTCACGCTTTCAATATTGACCGCCGGTAGCTAAATTTATAGAAAACATGAAGGGCGATTTTTTGTGCTGTCCCCTAAAAATTAAAAAAACCTCGCGGAAAAGTTTAACTCTTGATTTCAGCATATCAAGTGATGATTTGAGGCCCTACGTAGGAAAATGTCAGAGAAATGGAGCAGACGACGTTTTTTAGAAAAATTAATTCTAAAATTTTAACTAGAAAATATTAACACAGCCATTTAGAGTTGAGTTCTGATAGAAATCGACGCGAATATTGGGACGCGAGGTATTTGAAGGCGATCGGTACGAAGGGACTCATAACGAACGTCAATATGACACTTCAATTTTAACATTGTCTCCCATGGCAAATAGGTAACCCCTGTTTGCCCCTTGACAACTCGTTGCCAGCTAGGTTATAAAGGCCAATTTTCTTTTTCGAATCGAGAAAAAAAGCCCTAGCATGTATTTCATACAGCGTAAATCATCGAGCTAGCGATGGAAACTTTTTCGGTCGAGTTTTCATATCGGATGTGTTTCTGGGAAAGTAGTAAATGAAGTTTTCGTGCGTGGATATGAGATCTGTTTGTTGTAGCGTATCGTATTTCAGATCACAGTTCAGATAACCAAACAGACATTTGTCTCAATATTTCTGCCACGAAGGCAGTGGCCACGTAGAAAGAAAAATCTGTGATAGAACTCAGTGTGTTGATTTGGGCGGACTAAATGAGTATATGTAAGGGCAATCGCAATATAACATATTAAGTGAATAAATAATGAGAACGCTGAGTGCGGATCTGGGAACAAAGACAGAAATGAAATTCGGCTCGGCTGACGTCAACCTATAATTACGCTCTGGTAATCTGGCATCTGATGCTGTTGTAATTACCTCCCCCTGGAAACCAGTTCTAGTGTAAAAAAATACTCGTCACCTAAAAAAAGTAGAGGATGGCCTGATGTGTGGTTTTAAAATAGTTTCTCTATTTCAGAATACGTCTCGGATTTTTTTTTCGTGAGTGAAAAATATTTATTAGTAAAGGTGTTCCCGGCGGGATGAAGCAGGAAGAGCTAATAGAAAAACAGCTTTGAAAAGAATGCCTTAGACGAGCGACCGCCATGGAATGTTGTATTCTGGAGAACACGCAAAATATAATCCCCCATAAAATAAAGAGTTGGGTGCTTCCTCGAAGCGAGCGATCGCCCAGGAGCATTGAAATAAGTTTCAGCGTTATATTGCAAGTGAAGTCACGCAATTAAGCCAACGCACCAATCTTTCGCTGGGAACATAGAACGAGTCTAGCGTATGAATTTTGCAATATGAAAACGTGTGATGTCGTCCGCCTCAAAAGAGCGCCATAATAGTATAGCGTGTGATAAGGCCATGCTGATGGCAGACTAACTTTCTGTTATTCTCTGCTCGCTTACCAAAAACACGTGTGTAGACTGCCTATAAGCCCGGTCCGTAACACCTATGTTTCGTCTCCGAGTAAGTCTGGGTACCTGATCGCTGCTTCCACAGCAGTGTTCAGTCGGGATTACCGTTCGCTATGATGGCAGCTCAAGTGGCTGCAAATGTCAATTGTGAACGCGATATGAACACACAAGGACAGACAGGAACTGAGATGGACACTAACTCGATGGATTTCAATGCTAGACCAAGTCCTGGAAACACCGATCATACACCGGAGAATATCGTCGGCAGTATAACGGACAGTTCTACGGTGGGTAAACGAATGAAAATTGAAGCGCCTGCCAATCTCGAACAGGGCGAAATTCCCCACACAAAGGCTAATAACAACAATCAAGATGGTGGTGGTCATGATAGTGTTGGCAGAAATTGTGAACAAAGTGGGTTCGAGTCGAGAATGGAGCCGTACCCAATGTCAAATAATCCCAGTTTTGAACCAAATATTCCTAACCAACTCATGGATTCTAACCGTAGCATGAATTCTATGTCGAATCCCGGCCTACATGGCGGGTTTTCGAACAGTTATTATAGTGGTGGTGGAGGTTCTAGTGTTAGAAACAGCTATAACATGGCGGATCAGACACAACATGGCGGTCCAGGGCCAACAAATACGCCTCAAAACATGGGTCCAAATCCGAATATGGGACAACACTCAGTAGGTATGGGGCAGTATAATCAATACGACAGCGCAGGGAATTTAAGAACGGGTTACCCCCCTTCTTCCAAACCCATGAGTGGCGGGCTTAATACACGGACTAGTTCCTCTTCTAACATGACTCCTCATTATAATACGACACAGCAGCAGCAACAACAACAACGGTACCTAAGTGGTAGTGGTAGTCATTCCGCTGGACAGGCGCCCACACTCTCACAGCTTTTACAAGGCCAGAAACCAAACCAGATGTACCCGAACACGTACCAAAATCCCAGCGATTATAGCCAGGGAATGGGTAAAGGACCGGAAGTTAGTAATATGAACATGAGTGGAGGACCGGTCGCTTACGGACAACAGTGGAGCAACACACAAAGAACGCAGCAACATCATCAAAATATGAGTCCGATGGGCCCTAATCAAGGCATCAATCGTTCACAGGTAAGCTACAAATTATCACAAATGGATGTAAATAAAGGTAAAATGTAGCAAATATCTTTTAAGTTGCTATTACTTGAACAATAGCAGCAGGGTATAGGCGAATGGCTAATGTGAATGTATAATGAGATGGCATACGAGGAAATGTATAACAGGCCTGTTAGAAAGGTATGATTGTAGCTTTAATATTTGCAAAATTGATGCGATTTTGGGACTTCTTTTCAACAGGCCATAGAATGAATGAAAACTATCGCCTTCAAGTATTTGAATTTTGGAGGTAAATTGGAAAAGGCAGAAGACAGCTGGGTATTTTGTTAGTATTGTGAACGTTGATTGGCTGGCAGCACTTTGTGAGCCATCCATTTAATGGGGAAAGGATGTAATAATGATATAGCAACAATTCTGTGACACTAGGTGTCAAATAATATCATATTGATAGCTAGATGCTGCCATCAAATACCTTTTTGAAAATAATTGCTATTTTGTCTCCAGGCAATCTCTTGGTTTGCTGCAATTATATGTATATTATTTTGACATCTTCAAAACTCCCTGAAAAGATTTATATTTTATTTTGTTTAATTGAATGTGTGTTGCTAATTAACTGGCTTGCATTTCAATTTACAATAAATTAAGGGTTATAATTTTATGTGTCTTCTTTTTGTCAACTTTGGTGGGTCCCATGTTGTCTAAATCCTTTGCCTATGCAATTACTTTCACTACTTCAAGACTGAATCACATTGTTTTTTTCTACTTTTCTACCCCCGTGTTTTAAAGCATTAAGGTCAAAATTATATATTGTACAATACTTTATTTTTCGCTTGGAACTAATTTTCGCTGAAGGAATGATTCAGTGGAAATAAAATCCAGCTAATATACATTTTTTCCTATATTTTACATTAATCTCATCAAAAATCAGTGAAAATAAATTACATGCAAAACGCAGAAAGTTTTTTCAGCGAAAATTAATTCCAGCTAAAATAAAGTATTTTACAGTAGTTTGTGTTGTGTACAAAAAATGGTTTTAAGCTCGTCACTGTTAGGGTGTCCATATAATTTAGTTAGTATACATAGACTTGTCCATTTTTTATTTTGCATTCATATACTTTCATTAACACTTTTACAAAATTTCTTATGGTTATTTTTAACTACATGTGGAAATTGTGGATTAAGGTTTTTTTATCATTATTGTGACACTAAACTGTTTTGTATTGCACATGTTCTGTTGACATTGATTCACAATAGTGTATGCAAATGAACATTGTTATGCAAATTACTTCCTACTGACATTGAGCTAGTCCATATATTTTAACTCCTTTATGGTTGTTGGGTGAGAAAATTGACATCCTCTGGATAACATCATGCACCTTGGGTCAAAACATTTTGTATTTGTGGTCTTCTCTAATGGGGCATGCTACTTTAAGCCTAATCCCCTGTATTAAAACAGATTAAAATTACAGTTGGAAATTAATTTATTTATTTATTAATCCTACAGGGGAACCTAGTTCTATTTACAGGATTCTAAACAAAAACAATATTTTTCAATAAAATAAAATGAGAATTGACCAAATCAAGAAAGCACAATTCATATTAATGGTAAACTTGAAGAATAAAATGCAATAAATAAATCAATATCACAGAATGATATAATAATTTCATTGAAAGTACTAGTGCACCTATAGGGGGGAATATTTAAAAATTGACAGTGTACACAAATAGTGACACATGATTTCATGGGTTGTTTACATGGAAAAATGTCTTGATCTGTAAACTGCTGTATCTATGGTGCCATCCAACTTTCATTACATAATAGCAATGTTTAACAATATCAAGCCTACATGGGTCGTGAATTTCAGAATTTAGGTTAGTTTTTTTTTTAGTAGGTCGAAGTTGACAAATTGTTCTCAAACAATTAGAATAAGAGTTAGTCTGTAGTTTTACAATGACATAAAATCTTTTATACTTTGAATGATCTACTGTATGCTGGGAAATTGTTGGTTAATGTGGCAGTGTTAGCAAAGTCCAAAGTTATATTATTGGAAGTCAACTTCTCTGAACTCCTGTGAAAACATTTCTACTGCTCCTCCCTTTGAAATTTTTTTTTCCAGACTCAACATTTTTCTCTCACCAATTATAAAGCTAGTTAAAGTAGTTTGAATTTTGTAATGAAAACAAGCATTGTACATTGTTTTGCAAATTATTGAATGTAGTCAATAGTTTTTGAGCGTTTCTTACTGATGAGCTCGTTGGCTAGTGTGCAATGCATGGCTGTCCAAAGTTCACATTGGAAACGTGACAAATGTGTTTGCCTGGCAATTCATCTTTATTTTCCTTTTCCCAGTCTCTGTTGAAATTTTCCGATAGTTTTGACAGTGTTGCTCATTTGTTTAGCATCACAGGTGTGTAATTTTGATAAAGTGACAGACATAATAAACTAATACAAGCCTATGTGTATGATATGATTACATAGTTTGAAAAATGTTAACCACTTCAAATTTCACAAAAGACAAATTTATGCAAATATTTTACAACCAGTTAGAAATGTACTCGTTTCCAAAGTGAAATATTGTCATGATTGCCATTTAATCATGAAAATTCGTAGTGAAAATTTTTACAGTAATTTCTTGCATGAAATTGAATAATACTTTGACAAATTTTAATTAAAGTACTTGAAGTTCAGTCAACAAAAATGGCGCTGTAATAGGAACTGATGCATGCCCGTAAATCTGTTTGCCGAGTTACAAAACAATGTTTAATGATATTTCTACTAAAGTCTAATTTTGCCCAAAATTCTGGATAATCAGTTTCATTCAAGATTCACTGAAATCTTGTATGATTTTTGCACTATATTTGGCAAAACAAATTTAGGGTAGACTAACATTATTAGCTACGGTAGGGTTATCGGGAGCACACATTTTTATTTGGCCTTACCGCATGCTCATAACAAAATTGACCACTTACTAATCTGCCATATTACCTAGTATTCAATTCACTGAATATCCAAAAATCAGTCAGCAATGGGACGGTATGTCCATTTGGTCTAAAGTTATAGAAAAATACATAAAAATTAAATTCTGTACTATTTGGGCTGGAAAAAATGATATCAAATCATAAAAATATGCCTTGTATATATGTCTTATTGATGATGATATGCATGTGATATGCTTGCTCACAGTCTTGCCAGGATGAGCTGGAAAACGTCCCAATTGGGGTCCACGCTGAAATCAATCTCATTTGTAGTGTTAAAACATGTATAGTTGATACCCCTTTTATGCTAAGTAGCCATGTGCTTTCTCAGTTCTAAGTGTTCATTCATCGATATGCTCATTCATTCATCAAGTGGGGTTTTTATTTCCCTGGAATGTGACATGATTACCATGATTGTGGCTGTGTGTATTGCTTAGCTCCAATGTATTGTCATCATCCTGTATTATTTTGTTAAAGGCGGACACTGTACTATCAGTGTATGTGTGACCTTTTCAGTTATGCCCCTGGCGATGTGCTTCTGATTCTTTATACGAGACTTGCTCATTATTTTCTTGCTATTCTGATATTTGTTTTTTATTCCGGGAGGACAGCCACCCCAAATATGTACACAAGTTCCTTCAACTCAAAATTTAACCCTCCTCCATTGTATAGGCCTCTTCATTTAAAACGAGGAAAATTGGGTTTATTTGCGATGAATGTATGCTTTATGTAAATTCCTCTGCTGTTTTCATTGAAACTCTGGTTGCATCATATTAATAGTCTTGCATGCAATTTTTGGTTTGGTTTGGTTCTGCAAGCACAGTACTACATTTATAAATACAATTTTTTCAAATGATCAATATTCTTGTTTTCTTGTAGTCATTGTATTTTACATGTGTTGTATATGTCGCTTGGGAGTGATATTAAACTCGGCGTGATGACTATCGAGTGAAAAATCTTTATTTACAGTGGGTAAAGTCACTGAGAATGTAGTGAAAATACAACTTTGTTTCCAAATTACCAGAAAACCAAAACCACAATTTGAAACCAACATTCATTCATTCATGTCATGTGACAGTCTTTTCGGTTTTGGTAGCCCTCAACACTAGTTTTATGAAATGCAAAATACCTGAGAACAAGTCAACAGATATGGTAATGCAATGTACGATGATCCACGTATGATTTAATGTTGTTGCTGTAGCAATTGTTTTAGTTGCATCCATTTAACATTCTTTCGTACTGTTATCAATTTTAGTGCAAATTTGGAATTAGATATTTCTTAGTTATTAAATGTCTGTGCTGGCTTTCAACATTTCTAAAAAATGCATCTTGTTTTGCTGGATAAGACTGAAAATGCGGGGTAAATGATTGCCAATATCTCAATTTTTTTTTCAAATCTAAAATCATTAACCTTTACATGTGCACAACCTATATTGTTTTAACACGGATTATCTTTATTTAGTGCAAATCATTTGCTTCGTATGATTTCGCTGTCACCAATCTCTCATAGCTTTTAGAAAACTATGTATGAACCAGTTAGAAAAAAATCTTGTATTTAACCTCAGTTAAATTAAATGACTGAATTTGGCATGCCAAAGAGCTGAATCCACCAATCAGGGTCCTTGTAACAACAATTCATATCAATAGATTTTGTCATCTTGTTATTATTGCATAGCTTAACTGAGAGAAATGCCATACTTGCTAAGAAAACATGTCACATGACTTCTTGTTTCCTTTACCATGAAAATGTACATGCTCAGTTGTTTGATTTTATCGACAAGGAATATAGGATTATAGTAGGAATTGTTATAGTCAAACTATGAGGTGATAGCCGAATTAACGAACCTTGGCTGGCGAAAATCGGTGCAAATGTGTTTAGTGTCTTTGCCAATGATGCAATGTACGACAACCATAAAAGTAATTGAAAGTTCATATGAAGAAATGAGAGTATAATTCTCCTCATCTTTATTGTATGGAAAAGGTTTGTACTTCATGTCATAACATCAGTTTTTACTTGGTGATGGCCTGTACTGCATCGCAAAGGTATGGTGGTGAACATTTGTGAATGGCATGGATCTCTTGAGTTCAATAAAATGAAAAATTATGCAAAATATATGCAATTCACATGTAAATTCAGGTAGTCTGAATTTATATCTGCCTACCCTAAATCAATCTTGTATAGAAAGTCGCTTGCTTGAGGGAGATCTCTTCATTTTTCATGGACTTCACAATAGAATAACAACTCGGGAACAGTGATACATGTGATGAGGAAGTGTTTAGGTTTGATGCATTGGTCTTAATCCCAACAAACTGCTGTAAAGGGTCTTCTGTTGTTAGGAAATATTCGCAGCTGCAACCCTTGTATATTTCATCAAATTATTGATGACTTATTGTAATGTGTTGGTATGTTTTAAAATTTAAACAGGAGTTCAATACAATACCGCCACCCATCAGTTACAATAGATAACATTCCAAAACGTAGATGCCATCCTGCAACTTTGCTTTCACGCATGGCTGGCTTATTAATAGGTTTTCCACCGATTAAATGTGAACAATGGCCCCCTTGAATAGCTATCGCCCACCTAGCTGGTTTGTCCATAAGTCTGAAACTAGGGTGTCATATTATACACAGCTGTATCCAAAAATAAACATATTGAACTTGTGGGCATCCCCCAGTCTGGCCTTTGTTATGTAAATTGATTTGATAGCTTTGTAGCAGGAGATGAATTCTTAAGTAGGCAATTGAAGTATGCTAATTATTTCAGCACATGCTGGCAGGTAGGTGACCTCGGCTTCACCCAAGGGGGGTGTCAGTCTGTGGGAGACGCCCCTTTTATGAATGGGAACTGGTTGAGTTGCAGCTGTTGATTGTTAATTAATTGTATGAGGTTAATTGTACTATACTGATTCAGTGTGTCATTTGTTTTGTGTGTAAATAGTTGATTGCTGCTCTGATATTGATATGGGGGAATACCATTCTACAGGTGCAAGTACTATACGACTAGGTATACAGGCTGATCCATCAGAGGGCTTCACAAGCAAAAGAATGTACAAGTCTTGCATTACTGTCATCTGATCGGCTTATGATGTAGGGTTACCTGATTCAGTTCTTGCACCAAGCACCTATAGTTGAAATGTCATTATCTGAATATCCATGTAATGCTTCTCATTGGAAGAATCAGAAATAAAAAGTTTAATAAGACTATTTCTGCCCAAATATTATGGAAAAATACCACTGTATAACAATTTGTTGGGGCAAAGTTATGCAATCAAATAGCCCTGAAAATAATATTCATAATTCTCGTAATACTCATAATATAACTGGTATAACAGTTTGGTGTACTCTATGACTTGAAAAGGCCTATTATTAACTTAGATCTCATAGGTGAATGTTATTTTGAGTGTAACATTTATTTCAATATTTCTTTCACTTTTCCTTACTCCGCTGACATCTTTATGTAGGCAATTTTCTACTGTTGTCCTCCCACCAAATTTTGCTTCAAAGAACTACTTCTTGAAAACCACAAGCCTAATTGCTCATGTAGTTTTTGTGCTTGGGAGACGAGTCAAGTACTCTGAAAAACACAGGTTGATGAAAGTACTAACATTTCTGAATCTTTCTTCAGATGGGTGGGATGATGGAAATGCAGAAAAGACAACAAAGTGGCTACATGATGCCCAACACATCCAGTGGTTACCAACAAGGACAGTATGGTGGTAGGTCTTACCCGAACAGTTCACAACAGAGATATCCAATACCAGGACAACATAGATCACAACATGGACCACAACATGGACCTCCTAACATCGCCGGACAACATAGTCAGTACACGCAACAACAGGTAAGACAACACAAAACATTTGCCAAACCTAATACTGCGATTATTGTTGTTAGATGGCATTTGCGTGTAATGATACAGTCATAATGCGAGTGTCACCCACTCGGTACGCTAGCTACCCACCCCTAATGAATACAATAGTATGTTCTGGGAATTCTCACTTGAAAGTAAACTGATCTTGAAAACATGACCATCTGCTTATTAGGTTTCTCTTACTAATAAGAGTAGAAAAGGGGACTTCTCCAGTGGAGAAACATTACTTTTATTACTATATTTTTCCTGTGCACTGTTATCTTCGTTAGTTAACCAGTTGAATAGTGAAATCTATTCAAATTCGTACAACTTCATACTCGCAAGAAAACGAATCTGTCTGTGCTTGTCCTGAGTGTAGAGTTACCATATGAAAGGGCCACTGGTTAAAAGCTATGCACATAATGGTATCGCAGCAGGCATGTTGAAGCTTGTCTGCATGCATTATTTATGCTGTCCATACTGATTTATCAAAGTTCTTTAATACAATACCTTAGTAATAGTAGCTTACCACTGAACATCTTCATTCATTTGACTTTGCTGAGTGAAATTCTTAAAGTAGGTCTGTGTGGTGATTTATGAAAACTTTAATTGAATTACAATTCTCTGCACTTCAAGTATGACATTCCACTGTGGTCTTTCAATAAGTTTGTTTTATTTAAATTGAATTTTGTCTACTATCGTGTGCGTGTGTATGTTTTCACGCAATTGTTTGTAAGCGATTGAAATAAAAATAACCCACTCCAATAAAGTTTTTGGTTTTATTTCTATGGACATCAGTCCACTTTAGTAACCTTTTAACTTTTTAAGCTTTTTTTAAACAACTGCTCAAACAAACACTATTTAATGTCCAAGTACAATAATACTGCATTGGGCTATGCAACTAGGATGTGTTTTTAGTTTTCACATTTGGTTACCCCATGACAAAAATGGTTGCCAGGCAAAGTTATTGCAAACAACTTTAATCTCACAGGGACTCAATTTTCATAAAGTCTGTGAAAATATAAAAAATTAGCCTCGACAATTTCACTGTGGACCTAACACAGCCGAGTCGCGATGACGTTTACAAAAAGTTTTCCTTTCCCTTTGCAAAAAAATTCTAAACTGAAAAATTTCATTTTGAATTGCAGTACAACTGTTCAATTTTATGCAAAAACCACAGATCATTAGCATAACATTCAGTATAGATAATTAACATTGATAATCAATTTAGTTGGTGCTTCATTTTAATTAACCCAGGAAGAACTTTTATATTCAACAGAAATGGGAATGCTGTTTTCAGTTGAACCATTTTGACCTTTGATCACGTCCATTATGTCTGTTTACTTCCATTGTGGCTTGCATTATATTGCAAGATTGGCTGAGAAGCATGGATATACATTAAGCCAAATAGAAAATTGTTTTGTTGCCCTCAGCGACGGACCAAAAAATATGAAATATCGGGTCGCGGCCCAAATATTAAAAACTCACCATTTTAAGCAGTTAAAAAGTGTTTCATCTATAAATTAACGATCCTGGACCGTTGTTTGGTCCCTGGGGGATATGTGACGACTTTAAACCTCGGGTTGATCTGTATTTCTCTGACATGTTCCGAATACTATGAAGTCTGAAGAGCAAACGCGTCTTTTGCATTTCAGGCCATTTTGTATTTTCTTAATTAAATAAAAACATTATTTTGATTCAAAAACACTACGTTTGTTGTAGTAAATTTAACTTTTAATGCATGAAATGCACAAAATACCCCTAGTTTTTATAAATTTAAAAAAAAAAAAATCTGACCGACCGACCCATTTTTAGCTCTGCTGTCGACTTTGTCGAGCGGAGCTTATCATATGAGTGATTGTCCGTCGTCGTCGTCGTGTCAATGTTTTACTTTTTCGACTTCTTCTTGAAAACTACAAGCCTAAATGCTTTGATACTTGGTGTATATGTACCTTGGGTAGACCTCTCTTAGGTTTGTTCATTTCATGTTGATATCTTTAATTCTCTAATTTTGGTGAATATTTTTGTCATTTTTGGTAAAAACTGATTCTTTCGACTTCTTGTTAAAAACCGCAAGTGCAATTGCTTTGATATTACATATATAGGTACTACATGTGGACCTCTCTCAGATTTGTTTATTTCGTGATGATATCTTCAATTCTCTAATTTTGGTGAATATTTTTGTCATTTTTGGTAAAAAGTGATATTTTTGACTTCTTGTTAAAAACCGCAAGTCCGATTGCTTTGATATTACATATATAGGTACTACATGTGGACCTCTCTCAGATTTGTTCATTTTGTGATGATATCTTCAATTCTCTAATTTTGGTGAATATTTTTGTCATTTTTGGTAAAAAGTGATATTTTCGACTTCTTGTTGAAAACTGTAAGTCCGATTGCTTTGATATTACATATATAGGTACTACATGTGGACCTCTCTTAGATTTGTTCGTTTTGTGATGATGTCTTCAATTCTCTAATTAATTTATTTTGGTGAATATTTTTGTAATTTTTGGTAAAAAGTGATATTTTCGACTTCTTGTTAAAAACTGTAAGTCCGATTGCTTTGATACTATTCATATTGTTCATTTTCTAATGATGTCTTCAGTTCTTTAATTGAAATGTGCATTGCTAACAGCGGAGCTATCTCAGCCGATAGGCTGCTTGTTTTTATTTTTTTTCAATTTTTCAACTTGATGGCAACATAAGTTTGTTTTGCTTTTGCTTTTGGCCTTATCACGAAGGACTGTTTTGTGTGCATAATGAGGCCCAGCATAAATTACTTAGTTGAGTATGGAGAGAAATATTATATATATATATATATATATATATATATATGCCATTTTATTGCCTTCTTAGATGCCTCCAAATTATCCACAACAAGGTCAACAAATGGGTTACCCACAACAGCAGCAACATCAGCAGCAGCCATATGTGCAACAACAGATGCCGCCGCAGCCCCCACCGCCGCCGCCGCCACCACAACAGCAGCAGCAGTGGAGCCAGCAGCAAGGCCAGCCGCCTGTAGCTGGACAGGTGAGAATAAATTTGGCAACTATCAAATTGATACTTTGTTTTAAATAGCTGTCATGATATTTTCATTTGTGTTGAGTGGAGTTGTATTTGTTTGTGTGTGGACTACTTCAAAAGACAAACTTTTGCGACAATTTGTGAACATTTTCTCTGGGTCCTACGACATGAATGCTATATTATTCTGAAATCATGAAAACTTCAAGCAGCGAAAATGTTTTGTGTTCAAAATTATTCTGCAAGAAGTGTGGTTGGTGCATTGTTTTAATTCAAAACAACTGGGTGGTTGAGAATCTGCTGTAACTGTACAAATATTTGGTAAAATTACCTAAAAATAATAGCTACATTATGTGCATGTTAGACTAAATAAATGTGAATGATTGCCTTTCGAATAAAAAATCTGCCAGAAGAGATGAGATGTACGTTTCTGCCGATACACACACTAGCAGTTTAGTTGTTGTATACTGTAGATATTTGTGTTGTAATCACAGTGATTGAAGACAGTAGAGAAAACTGTTGATAATTATTGTACTATTCTTATTAATTTCATAATGTTATTGATCTTGTATATGTCATGTGGCAAACTAAATTATCTTATGGAGACTCCATGAATCAGACTGTTTTACTATTTAGTGCAAGTGTATAAAATGGTGGCCAATAATTTATACATGTCTTTTGTAAAATACTTGAACCAATTAATTTTCGCTGAAAGATTTTTCTGGTGTTTTTACTTGTAAAGAGTTCATTTATAGATTGAAAGGTATATTTGCTGGATTTTATTTTCACTGAATCATCCCTCCAGTGAAAATAAAGTACTGTAGAATACTTTATTTTCGCTATTTTCGCTGAAGGGATGTTTCCGTGAAAATAAAATCCAGCGAATATACTTTTTTTCCTATATTTTACATTAAACTCATCAAAAATCAGTGAAAATAAATTCCACACAAAACACCCAAATAGCCTTTTCAGCGAAAAAGTATTTCACAGTATTTTCAGTGGCCAATATGTATTCAATAAATAGGTTGGTTCATGTGTACTTATATTGTGTTCACTATGCGTGATTCAGAGATCGTGTTATTGCAATAATTATTGAAAATACTGCAGTATACGATAAATAGGTTGGTTCATGTGTACTATTACGGAATTCATTATGCATGATTCAGAGATTACGTTAATTATTGAAAATACTGCAGTATACGATAAATAGGTTGGTTCATGTGTACTATTACGGAATTCATTATGCATGATTTAGAGATAGCGTTAATTATTGAAAATACTGCAGTATACGATAAATAGGTTGGTTCGTGTGCACTACTACGGAATTCATTATGCGCGATTCAGAGATTGTGTTAATTATTGAAAATACTGCAGTATACGATAAATAGGTTGGTTCATGTGCACTACTACGGAATTCATTATGCGCGATTCAGAGATTGCGTTAATTATTGACAATACTGCAGTATACGATAAATAGTTTGGTTCATGTGTACTATTACGGAATTCATTATGCGCGATTCAGAGATTGCGTTAATTATTGAAAATACTGCAGTATACGATAAATAGGTTGGTTCATGTGCACTACTACAGAATTCATTATGCGCGATTCAAAGATTGTGTTAATTATTGAAAATACTGCAGTATACGATAAATAGGTTGGTTCGTGTGCACTACTACAGAATTCATTATGCGCGATTCAGAGATTGCGTTAATTATTGAAAATACTGCAGTATACGATAAATAAGTTGGTTCATGTGCACTACTACGGAATTCATTATGCATGATTTAGAGATTGTGTTAATTATTGACAATACTGCAGTATACGATAAATAGGTTGGTTCATGTGTACTATTACGGAATTCATTATGCATGATTTAGAGATTGTGTTAATTATTGACAATACTGCAGTATACGATAAATAGGTTGGTTCATGTGTACTATTACGGAATTCATTATGCATCGTTTAGAGATTGTGTTAATTATTGAAAATACTGCAGTATACGATAAATAGGTTGGTTCGTGTGCACTACTACGGAATTCATTATGCATGATTTAGAGATTGTGTTAATTATTGACAATACTGCAGTATATGATAAATAGGTTGGTTCATGTGTACTATTACGGAATTCATTATGCATCGTTTAGAGATTGTGTTAATTATTGAAAATACTGCAGTATACGATAAATAGGTTGGTTCGTGTGCACTACTACGGAATTCATTATGCGCGATTCAGAGATTGCGTTAATTATTGACAATACTGCAGTATACGATAAATAGGTTGGTTCGTGTGCACTACTACGGAATTCATTATGCGCGATTCAGAGATTGCGTTAATTATTGAAAATACTGCAGTATACGATAAATAGGTTGGTTCATGTACACTATTACGGAATTCATTATGCATGATTCAGAGATTGTGTTAATTATTGAAAATACTGCAGTATACGATAAATAGTTTGGTTCATGTGCACTATTACGGAATTCATTATGCGCGATTCAAAGATTGCGTTAATTATTGAAAATACTGCAGTATACGATAAATAGGTTGGTTCATGTGTACTATTACGGCATTCATTATGCGCGATTCAGAGATTACGTTAATTATTGACAATACTGCAGTATACGATAAATAGGTTGGTTCATGTGTACTATTACGGCATTCATTATGCGCGATTCAGAGATTACGTTAATTATTGAAAATACTGCAGTATACGATAAATAGGTTGGTTCATGTGTACTATTACGGCATTCATTATGCGCGATTCAGAGATTACGTTAATTATTGAAAATACTGCAGTATACGATAAATAGGTTGGTTCATGTGCACTACTACAGTATTCATTATGCGCGATTCAGAGATTGCGTTAATTATTGAAAATGCTGCAGTATACGATAAATAGGTTGGTTCATGTGCACTACTACGGAATTCATTATGCATGATTCAGAGATTGCGTTAATTATTGACAATACTGCAGTATACGATAAATAGGTTGGTTCATGTGCACTACTACAGTATTCATTATGCGCGATTCAGAGATTGCGTTAATTATTGAAAATACTGCAGTATACGATAAATAGGTTGGTTCATGTGTACTATTACGGCATTCATTATGCGCAATTCAGAGATTGCGTTAATTATTGAAAATACTGCAGTATACGATAAATAGGTTGGTTCATGTGCACTACTACGGAATTCATTATGCGCGATTCAGAGATTACGTTAATTATTGAAAATACTGCAGTATACGATAAATAGGTTGGTTCATGTGTACTATTACGGCATTCATTATGCGCGATTCAGAGATTGCGTTAATTATTGAAAATACTGCAGTATACGATAAATAGGTTGGTTCATGTGCGCTACTACAGTATTCATTATGCGCGATACAAAGATTGCAACAATTATCGAAATGATGCAGAAAATATGTACTTGCGTCCTCAAAACAATCGCATTGTTGTATCAAATTAACGATATGCATTCAGATTCATTGCTAGTCGATAACACTGAAACGCATTTTTTGGGGGTCATGTTCGTCTTGTATGTTGGTATCAATGCTAGCGAAATCTCTAGATTATGTACTGTTGATATACACTGCCTTTCGTCTAGACACAGTCTATGATCAGAAGACGATTGACTAAAAATTTATTGTTCTATATAGTGAATTAGTATATAGTATTGTTTTAGGTGTTTCTAAACTTCAAGTCGGTCTGCGCATGCCCCATTACCATGGAAATGTGCTAAAGTTGGACACCCAATCAGTAATGACACTGAGTTGTGTGGCGACTACGTAGTTGCATAGTGATTCACTAGGCTATTCTTAAGTGTTCTCTGTATGGATTCCTGGCTACATTGTCCCCTGAGGCGTCTTGGTTTAACTTTGCACTGGTTCTAAACTATGTCCCCACTAGTAACAGCAACTGACTGACATGCTGTGGAACGTTAAGCTACTTGTACACCTAATAGAAAGGTTAAACTCATCTGCCAAGATAGAGAAATTCCCCTGAATCATCTAATCTTTTTGCTTTGTTTCATGAGGTGTTTTTTTGTTATGGGAGGTTTATTTTTATTGGCCACCAGGTTATTGTCATGCAGTGTTAAACTTAAATTACTGAATTCACTCCCAAAACATTTGTTACTGATTACTTAGGAATAAGATACCGTCTCCCAACTCTCAAAGAAGTTTTTAAATTTACAGAATTATTATTATTTAAAGAAAGATTTTTATGACAGAATGCCTGTTTTCGTAATTTGTAACGATCATCAAACCTTGTAGAATATGCATACACACCATATTTGTACTATGAGTATGTATCTATGTACTTTGTGTATGGCCACTTTATTTGCTGTTAGAATTTACTGGTAAAAACTTCTCACATTTTTGAGAAACACATTTGTCTTCAGGGTAATATCCAATTCAGATATTGCATTTGTTTCAGTAGAAGCACACCTATCACGAATTTAGGCCAGACTTTTATTATCCCTTGTTTCGCGAACCCGCCGAATGAACAGGAGCCAAAAAATAAATAAAAAAAATAAAATTTTATTTCAGCGTAATTTCTTGCGCCAACCGTATTGTAAGTGCAAAAAATTGCTAAAAAAAACTTATTTTTATCTTCATTTTTTTTCCCGCCTGCCGCATAACAAACCCAAGTTGTATTTTCGTGGGAGTATCATGATCAAAGTACTAAAGTCTCGCGCAGATGTGAAACAAGGTTATACATGGAATAAAACTTCATTTCATTTCTTCTCTCCGATTAATGGTCTCACTTACAATTCTTTGAGAATCACACAAATCTCATGGAAAAAAAGAATTACTGTGGAATACTTTATTTTCGCTGGAATTAATTTTCGCTGAAAAGGCTTTTTGGGCGTTTTGCTTGGAATTTATTTTCACTGATTTTTCATGAGTTTAATGTGAAATATATGGAAAAAAGTATATTCGCTGGATTTTATTTTCACGGAATCATCCCTTCAGTGAAAATAGCGAAAATAAATTCCAAGCGAAAATAAAGTATTCTACAGTAATTTTTTTTTCCCCCGCCTTCCTCCAGAAAATTGCCTAATAAAAACTCGAGAAACAAGGAATGAAAAAAAGTCTGGCCTTATAAAAAAAAATTCTATGCTGTCACATTCTGTGAATTATGTGTTTGTGAGGTCGATTTTCATGAATCTGTGAAAATCACAAAATTTGGCAGAGATGACAATTTCTCAGAGGTGTCAATGACTTTCAGAAAAATGTTTTCTCCGGAAATGCCACAAAATCCTTAATTTAAAAATCAGCTTGTTAGGTTTATCACTTGTACAGGAATCCTTGGGAAAAAATATTTACAAAAATTTAGTAATTTTTTTTTATATTTTCTGAATTGTTTAGGAAATGTTTGATCCTCTAAGTTGGACCTCAAAATTCTTGCCCATAAGATGTTGCATACATGTTTCAACTACTAATCCTAAATTTTGGTTCAATTTGTTTGATTGATCAATGTGTTATTCAGTGTTGAATACAATCTTGCTTTATCGCTAAACATTGGAGTTCCTCAGGGAACACACTTTGCAGTTGGAATTGTTGCCATAGAGACAACTGTATATAATAGGTGCTGTTAGATTTATATGGTTTTTTAAAATGCCCTAATTTTTTGTGGAACTAGTGATAGGTACTGTTATAAATATTGTTTTTTAGGTTCATAAAATTAGTGATTTGAAAAGGCTGAAGTAGTTATTCATGTGCTTGGCTAATCAACTATTACTGCCAAGGAATTCATTAAATTATTGTTGTGAAAAAGGTGGCCCAGATGTGTGTAGGCAGAGTTCTTTCACTTAAAAAATGAAAATAAACGGGCATTTTTCTGGAGTTTGCTTGTAAAACATTTGCTTAAAAAAAACCTTGTAGCTACATTGAGTAACCAACTATTTTTTGCCGGATGTTAGACCATCACGACGACGGCATTTTGCAGAAGCAATTCTTTTCAAAACTTTGTAACAGTATATACCATTTTGGGGTATATTTCTGCCATTTTGAAATTAATTGATAGTAGTAAATCAATCGGACATTTATGGTCAACTTTATATGCACATTTTTAAAAGCAGTACATGTAAAAAAAATTTAAATCTTCGCATATGTAAATATTTCCTATCTGAACTGGTCAAAGTGTATTGATTGAAGTTTTTTTATGCCAAAATTATGAAATTTGCATGATTGTGTGTTAAAGTCTAATTAGTCACTTGACAGTGAATGTAATGTCAATAATTGTAATGCTCCCAAATCAGTAGAGTCAATTGAAATCAATAACAATTTTGTTACAATACATTTTGCAAATTAAACAAATTTAAAGATTAATATACACATGTATTTGAACTCCCTGAAAGTAAATCGGCCACTTTTCAGTATATGTGTTAGTAAAGTTGAAAATTTAATTTTTTCAGCCTTCCTCTGTTTTATCTGGAGGGCTGGCACAGCAGAGTATGCTACCTTCCTTGCCCAACCAGCAAGAAGACTCTATGATGCCAAGGCCGCCAAGTTTACCAGTAAGTAAACTAAAACCATGTCTTTTCACGGGATACCTGGTGATAAAACATTTCCCATTTAGAGTGTGTAATATGTAGAGTATATCGTTGTAAAAATAGTGATAGCTTTCATGGTGAGAATATGATTGTAATATTCCTGTTTCACATACCCACAGTTTTCTCTAATTTAATATTGTTGACTTGTGCGCATTGTCATTCAATAATCCCGAAACTTTAGTTCGCCTAGACGAAGTATAAGATACCAGTAGGTAGTCTAGCGACATCATTAATTGAAACATTACCAATTGTGTTTTAAACCCCTGTCAGTATATTGTTGCTAGGGGGAACTCCCATTCTGATTCGATTAGTTTTAACCAAACAATTTAACGACTGGTCTTGTTCAGAGTTGCTACCAGTGATGTCAGTGTTGATGTGTCGTTATGTTGCAATAAGTGGATTGATATGACAAATATAATACAACGCTTTGTTTTAATTTGTCTGGACTTAGCTCTGCATGCATCCCTTCATAACCTCTGTATAGATAAAATAAAAGTAAATCATTGCGGTGGTGGTCTGTGATTTAAAAAAGAAAAGATGTGCAGCAACTCAAGGCAGTGTTTGTCCGCCAACGCGATATTGATGTTTTCATGAGTGAGTTTGGGAAATCCCTCAAATAGCATAATTTGGATTGATTGAATCTGCAGAGGGCACTCCTTTCAATAGTTCATGCTGAGTGTAATGATGCTAGTAAATAGGATATGACATCACTGTATTTTAAAAGCCTGCTGTCTGGCCTGGCATCTCATTGACACATGTCAGGGGGCTTCTCTAAAACTCGCATCCCTGCAAGTTGAGAACTGCTAGTTTGTTTCGCCTTGTGTAACACGTTCTGTGATTTGTTCTACTTTTGTAACATGTACTGGTTGGTTCCTCCTTTTGTAACATGTACTGGTTGGTTCCTCTTGTAACACATACTGTGATTGGTTCCTCTTTTTGTAACACATACTGTGATTGGTTCCTCTTTTTGTAACACATACTGTGATTGGTTCCTCTTTTTGTAACACATACTGTGATTGGTTCCTCCTTATGTAACACGTACTGTGATTGGTTCCTCCTTATGTAACATGTACTGTGATTGGTTCCTCCTTATGTAACACGTACTGTGATTGGTTCCTCCTTATGTAACACGTACTGTGATTGGTTCCTCCTTATGTAACACATACTGTGATTGGTTCCTCCTTATGTAACACATACTGTGATTGGTTCCTCCTTATGTAACACATACTGTGATTGGTTCCTCTTTTTGTAACACAGACTGCGTTGTTTTTTTTTGTAACGCGTACTGTGATATTTTACAAGCATTTTATTTTATTTTGTACAAGTTTGCCTTACCTTGCGAAGTAGCTATCAAAATATGTTGTGCCCCTGTATCTTTAGTAGTACTATTGTTTGGAGGCCGGTAAAAGACAGAAATAATTTTTGCCCCTTCCCGTAGTAGGATATTAATCAATCCTGATTAAACATTAATTATGTTTTGTAAAAAATGAATGTTGATAATGAGTATGTTACTGAGATCTAAAGAGCTGTGAAACTGATAGTTATCCATTTGACCTACAGGTCACGTATCCTGGTTCAGTTTTGTTACTGCCTTGTTTAATTCCTGATAAGCTTCACACCCATTTATGCTTTGTATTCTGTATCAGGATGTACTAGTAGTATATGAGTTGGTGCATTCATTACTCCACTAATATGTCATGCGTGTTAAAAAAATGTTCTTGTCAGAAGTAAATTTTAACATTTTCTTGTCAGAAGTAAATTCTATGTGCTTTGCTTTCAATATGGCGGATTGGTGGCCTTTTTAGCTCCGCTGTCGACTTTGTCGAGCGGAGCTTATCATATGAGTGATTGTCGTCGTCGTCGTTCGTGTCAATGTTTTACTTTTTCGACTTCTTCTTGAAAACTACAAGCCTGAATGCTTTGATACTTGGTGTATATGTACCTTGGGTAGACCTCTCTCAGATTTGTTCATTTCATGA